CATTACAGTTTTTTCCTACACTCAGCTGCTCCCCCTCACCATAGGCCCTTTTTCAAGTTTTTTTTGAGGAAACCATTGACATATTGTGATTTGGAACCCTTTCCCATACATCAACAACACCAACAATAATTATTTTATCACACCAAACTTTGAGTGAGATGAAAATGGGTTCTAACATCAGTTTTTCTTTTTCAAAGATTTATAAAAAAATAAAAAAAAAGCACTAGCTGGGAGTCGAACCCGATACCTTCCAGTTGCCAGGCGTTTGCCTATCCACTAGACTAATGTGTCACACTGGTCATCTTCATGTATTTTTTCATATTGATACTTATTGTTGTAGATGTAGCAAAAGACGTATTCTAACTAATTCAGAGAGTCGCTTGTTAAAGAAAGAGTATCAAATGTTATTTTCTCCTTTGTTGAGGAGGTGGGGGGGGGGTGTCCCCTTTAAAAAAAAAGGAGATGGACACGTCAATATCATGGGGTAAAGAAAAAAAAAAAAAAATAACATGAGGTATAAAGGAGAAGCTGGGAGTCGAACCCGAGTACATACATACATTGCGTTGTGAAGCGATCAGTCTTATCCACAAGACCACTTAGCCTCATTGCTACTAACTGGTTCACTTCTTGGTGTTATAGCACTTTCTGCATGTTAACGACTTTAATATGTTGATTTACTGATTTAACGATTTCGGGATGCATAATTATTCATATTTTTGCAGTCCGATGTTGTCAAATTGCCCGTAAATGTTTTCTTTCAGTTACTGATATTTCTGATATAATAGTGAGGTTTTATGTTATTTTCATTTATTTTGCAATCTGCTGACTTAAACTTCAAGTGATATGACAATAGGCCACTGCCCTGACATAGCATAATGAACAGAACAGGGATCTATTCAATTTAGGATATGCTCCGAATTCTGTAACAGGGCACCAATGAATAGGGAAGCTTGGCTATTCGATTCTGTGTTCAATAGCTTGCACCTGCAGCATCAATTAATGAATTGAAGAAAAAAAACCGACCCTCCCTTCATTGACGGAATATTTTTGTCAATTGCGAGGATTACATAAGAGGTAATAATAGCATTCCTGACATTGCAACAATGACCGCATTATGTTGATGTATTGTCCATAAAGGTACTGAGGAGGTCTTTCTCCTTGTCTGCATGGAGGACACGCACTTTGAATATCCCCATAGAAAAAGGATAGAATGGGGCTGTAGTCTCATTTAAAAAAAGGAAAGCGATTTCGGGACAGTTCAAAATAATGCTGGGAAATGGAAATTAAAATGATACCGTTTTAAAAACCAGTTAGATATGGTTTTTGGACAAGAAGCATGAGATAATTCGTTGCTCGGCAATCTGGACTGTATTTGAAACAGAGCATCCAATATTCTTGATATTTAATAGTATACTGTCAATACAAAAATATAACTAAAAAAAATAAAAATGATGGACCTCTTTACCCAAGGCTGTGTGTCTTTGTCGAGCACAAAATGATTCTGCTCGGGTATGCAGGCGAGTTGTTAGCCCATATTGGGCTTGAATAGACTTGAATTGAAAGACCCTTTGTTTCACCTCGCGAAGTTTAGGCGCTTTTTTATGAGGAGTAAAACCTTGCCCATCATTGAATTCATGTTGTAAAGTTGTTTACAGACTGGAAAAGGATAGCATGGGAGTGTACAAATTGAATAAATGGATGTAAGTAGTACTGAAAATGTAAAAAAGTTGTTTAACCTGGCAATAAGGGACTCTTGAATGTAGTTTAAAAATTGGACATGGCTTTGGGGCTAACGCTACCGGCCACCGGCTACGCTGACGACCGCCAGCTAGCTGACGACCGCCAGCTAGCTGACGACCGCCAGCTAAAAAAAGACCCCCCCAAAAAAAAATAAAATAAATAAAAATTAAAACCCCCCCAAAAAAAGACCCCCCCCCCAAAAAAAAAGACCACCCCCCCAAAAAAAAGACACCCCCAAAAAAAAGAGACCCCCCCCCCAAAAAAAGACCCCCCCCCCCAAAGGGGCTCCATTACAGTTTTTTCCTACACTCAGCTGCTCCCCCTCACCATAGGCCCTTTTTCAAGTTTTTTTTGAGGAATCCATTGACATATTGTGATTTGGAACCCTTTCCCATACATCAACAATAATTATTTTATCACACCAAACTTTGAGTGAGATGAAAATGGGTTCTAACATCAGTTTTTCTTTTTCAAAGATTTATAAAAAAAAAAAAAAAAGCACTAGCTGGGAGTCGAACCTGATACCTTCCAATTGCCAGGCGTTTGCCTATCCACTAGACTAATGTGTCACACTGGTAATCTTGATGTATTTTTTCATATTGATACATATTGTTGTAGATGTAGCAAAAGACGTATTCTAACTAATTCAGAGAGTCGCTTGTTAAAGAAAGAGTATCAAATGTTATTTTCTCCTTTGTTGAGGAGGTGGGGGGGGGGGGGTGTCCCCTTTAAAAAAAGGAGATGGACACGTCAATATCATGGGGTAAAGAAAAAATAAAAAAAATAACATGAGGTATAAAGAAGAAGTTGGGAGTCGAACCCGAGTACATACATACATTGCGTTGTGAAGCGATCAGTCTTATCCACAAGACCACATTGCCTCACTGCTACTAACAGGTTCACTTCTTGGTCTTATAGCACTTTCTGCATGTTAACGACTTTAATATGTTGATTTACTGATTTAACGATTTCGGGATGCATAATTATTCATATTTTTGCAGTCCGATGTTGTCAAGATTACCCGTAAATGTTTTCTTTCAGTTACTGATATTTCTGATATAATAGTGAGGTTTTATGTTATTTTCATTTATTTTGCAATCTGCTGACTTAAACTTCAAGTGATATGACAATAGGCCACTGCCCTGACATAGCATAATGAACAGAACACGGATCTATTCAATTTAGGATATGCTACGAATTCTGTAACAGGGCACCAATGAATAGGGAAGCTTGGCTATTCGATTCTGTGTTCAATAGCTTGCACCTGCAGCATCAATTAATGAATTGAAGAAAAAAACCCGACCCTCCCTTCATTGACGGAATATTTTTGTCAATTGCGAGGATTACATAAGAGGTAATAATAGCATTCCTGACATTGCAACAATGACCGCATTATGTTGATGTATTGTCCATAAAGGTACTGAGGAGGTCTTTCTCCTTGTCTGCATGGAGGACACGCACTTTGAATATCCCCATAGAAAAAGGATAGAATGGGGCTGTAGTCTCATTTAAAAACGGAAAGCGATTTCGGGACAGTTCAAAATAATGCTGGGAAATGGAAATTAAAATGATACCGTTTTAAAAACCAGTTAGATATGGTTTTTGGACAAGATCGAAGCATGAGATAATTCATTGCGCGGCAATCTGGACTGTATTTGAAACAGAGCATCCAATATTCCTGATATTTAATAGTATACTGTCAATGAAAAAATATAACTAAAAAAATTAATAATATTGGACCTCTTTACCCAAGGCTGTGTGTCTTTGTCGAGCACAAAATGATTCTGCTCGGGTATGCAGGCTAGTTGTTAGCCCATATTGGGCTTGAATAGACTTGAATTGAAAGACCCTTTGTTTCACCTCGCGCAGTTTGGGCGCTTTCATTTGAGGAGTAAAACCTTGCCCATCATTGAATTCATGTTGTAAAGTTGTTTACAGACTGGAAAAGGATAGCATGGGAGTGTAGAAATTGAATAAATGGATGTAAGTAGTACTGAAAATGTAAAAAGCTTGTTTAACCTGGCAATAAGGGACTCTTGAATGTAGTTTAAAAATTGGACATGGCTTTGGGGCTAACGCTACCGGCCACCGGCTACGCTGACGACCGCCAGCTAGCTGACGACGACCGCCAGCTAGCTGACGACGACCGCCAGCTAGCTGACGACGACCGCCAGCTAGCTGACGACGACCGCCAGCTAGCTGACGACGACCGCCAGCTAGCTGACGACGACCGCCAGCTAGCTGACGACGACCGCCAGCTAGCTGACGACGACCGCCAGCTAGCTGACGACGACCGCCAGCTAGCTGACGACGACCGCCAGCTAGCTGACGACGACCGCCAGCTAAAAAAAGACCCCCCCCAAAAAAAAAAAAAAAAAAATAAAAATTAACCCCCCCCAAAAAAAGACCCCCCCCCAAAAAAAAAGACCACCCCCCCCAAAAAAAGACCACCCCCAAAAAAAGAAGACCCCCCCCAAAAAAAAAGACCCCCCCCCCCCAAAGGGGCTCCATTACAGTTTTTTCCTACACTCAGCTGCTCCCCCTCACCATAGGCCCTTTTTCAAGTTTTTTTTTGAGGAATCCATTGACATATTGTGATTTGGAACCCTTTCCCATACATCAACAATAATTATTTTATCACACCAAACTTTGAGTGAGATGAAAATGGGTTCTAACATCAGTTTTTCTT